CAACACTTCTGCTCTGCCACACTGAAAGCGTGAATCACTTGCCTGCTCTGCTGCTGATACCCTGAGCAATCAGGCTTGTTGCTGTCCAGCAGAGGCTTCCTTTCCTTGTGGATGAAGCTATATCCCCTTGAAGGGGTGAAAGCAGGGGCAGAGGCCTGGCTGCAGTGGGGAGTGGTTGTGCAGCGTGTGCACCTCTTTTCTCTGGGGACACGCAGCCTGCAGCTCCCCCAGAAATGTGTCAGCTTTCCAAGGGCATCTGCCTGCTGCAGAACTGGTTCTGTTTGTGTGTGGAGGAGATATCTAGAAATGTGATTTCTTTGGCTCTCCTGCCTCCTCCAGAATGTGTATCTGTGGGCCTTGTGCAGAACTGCAGCTATTTTCTGTGTCTGCTTTGCTCAGGGAGATGCGCTGCATCCTGGGAACACTGAGGGAGGTGAATGCTGGGGTTTGTTTCATCTCTGCCTGTGCCTCAGGCCTCAGATCTTTTCACCAGTGTTTTGATGTTTTGAGCAGATATCAGGCTACTCCTGTCTCCTGTTGTGCAGCACAGCCTGTGAAAAATACTTGGCATTGCAAAGCGCAGAGTTAGTTTTTGTTTATTCCATTGTTGATGTTTGCCACTTGCAGATGAAAAAAAAAAGCAAGGGGAGGGGAATAAACCGGAGAAGGTCTGCAGCAAAAATAACTGACACAGATGCAAGAGATGAGTCGAACTCCTGTTCCTGCTGAGCAACTGATGATGAGGCAGTACTTGCTTTCCCAAAATATGTCAGGGAAAGAGATACTGGTGCTGTGCTGAGGGATGTTCAACACCCACCACTTTGTGTGAAGCCTGTGAGTCATGGGCACTTTTTGCTTTTGGGATCTGCTCTGCACTCCCTTCACTCGATCATAAACCCAAGCCCACCATTTTCTTTTAGAAATACTAACGTTACAAATATTTACTTTAACCCATTCATGCAACACATCAATCCCAAGACCTTTTCCAGGGAAATCCCTGCTGGGGGTGAATGAGGTGATGGTCTTTCTGGGTGGTTATCCTTTACCCAGCCTGAGAGGAGGAGATAGCATCTCTTCATCACCTTAAGCTTCTGTGGTGTGGTGCTGGTGAGTAGCTCCCAGCTTACAGAGGGATGGAGGTGAGCAGGCTGGTAGATTGGCATTTAGCTGTGGACAAGCCTGGTTTGGATGCTGAGGAAAGGCTCAGGTGTCTCGCACAGGTGCCAGGCTGTGTGCCAGCATGGCAGAAAGGATCCCTTTGCCCAGACTCCTGGCACAGACTGAGGCATTTTCACTTGGACATGTCACTTTACTCAGGGAGTTTTGGTATTTCTTTAGGTCTGAGGTTATTTTCATGACACTCAACCCAAATGTAACTAATTTCTCCCTGCAGTTGGTGCCTGGTCCATTGTGTTCTGAGGAGGGAAGTGGAGCTGCTCAGCAATTTTGCAGAGAGTGGGAAGTCCTCCTCTGCTTTTGATTCTTAACAACCAAAGAGTTGTCTATGTCTGGTCCAAAACCCACTTTGTGGAAAGAAGCTGGAGCTTGCCAGCATCTTTAAACCAGTCTGAGACTGCCCACGACTGTAATTTATTGTGGCCTTGGGGAGTGACTCCATTGGAAAGGTTTGGATTTGGAGAAAGGTTCCAAATTAAGGACAACTAACTTTAGGAGAAAAATGTTGTGAAATAACAGCAGAACTGCTCCAGGTCTACCGAGTTGGTGGGGTTTTTTTTGCTTGCTTGTTTTAATGGGGACCTTGGCACAACCGTGACTTGCCAGGGAAGGAGGTAACTGGGCTGGGTTGCTTTTCCAAGCCTCTCTGTGGATTGCCATACAGCTGCTGTGGGAAGGAGCCAAACACAAGCTGGGGGTTGTGTCAAACCTCCCTTCTGCAAGCTTTGTGCTGCTCCCTTGCCCTGCCCAGAGCAGCTTTGGGGTGTTGGATGTTGTCAGCTCAAGCCCCGCGGAGGAGAGCAGGTCATGAGGGGTGACTGGCACCTCTGGGCTGCCTGGCCTGGCTTCTTTTCCTGCTGAGGACGTGCACAGGCAGCACCAGGGGCTCTGTAGGTCACACAGGAAACGCTGGGAACGGTGCTCTGCTTCCTCACCTCGTGTCAGATCAGGTTATTTGTAAACCAAGGCGTGGCAGAGCAGCATGCTCATTTTATTCCCGTCCCGTCAAAGCCTGGAAAAGCTGGAAAGAGTTTTAGCTGGCTCTGGTGGCACAGTGGCTATCTGAGCTGTGTCCTGCTGTGGCCATGCTGAAGGGTTGCAGGAAAAGGCCAAGAATGTTGGCATTTCCCTTGTAGTCCTGGGAGGACAGAGCACGTGTGAGAGCTGCTCCTTGCCTTTGGCACACTGAGCCAAGCAAAGCACCACCTTGGCTCTCAGCTCGCCTGCACAGGTGTCTGTCAGGAATAGCCTTTGGAGCGGCAGGCAGGGCCATGTCACAGCCTGTGTCACTCCTCAGTGTGCTTCTTGAGGGAGCCAGCCTCACTGGGAGGTTTGGGGAGTTTCCCATGCTGCTGGGGAAGTTCTCAAGTGGAAGGTTGGCTGGTTTCTGCTGTGTAGCAGTGCAGTGGACACGAAGGAGGCAGCCTCAGCTGCTTCACCAGCTGAACAGGAACTGGTCAGCTCACAGCTCTGTGTTCCACTCTCTTTTCCAGGTGTCTGCCAAAATAATCTTAGGGTAAAGAATCATGGTTTATTGGTGATAAGCACGGAGAACCAGTGTGGTGGTGTTTGGTTTGGGGAGAGTGTGTTTGGGAGGGACACCAAGACACAGATTCTGTGTCCCAAAAGTCTCTGTGTCCTTAATGCAGTTCTGACAGGACCTGTTCCCTGCCAGAGGTGTTGCAACCCTGCTGAATGCTTTTCTGCTTTTCTCCTGGCTCTTACAGAACGATGACCTCAGGAACCTGTCCCTGTCCGGCCACGTGGGCTTCGACAGCCTCCCAGACCAGCTGGTCAACAAGTCAACGTCACAGGGCTTCTGCTTCAACATCCTGTGTGTGGGTAGGTCACCTGCTGGGCCCTCAGGGGCCACAGCCCCACACTCACACCTTTTCCCCCTGCCCAGGGCAGGGCTGAGCCCCTGCAGGCTGTGCTTGTCTTCCCAGAGCTGCTCCATGGTGAAATGGAGTGTTCCTCGTTGCCCTTTCTCTGCCCTGTCCCCTGAGTCAGAGCATGGCAAGGGCTAGCTGTTAAAATCTATCCCTCTGATCATCCAGTGGTTCTGCTTTCCCCAAAGGCTGCCTGTAAGGAAACTGAACTTGGGAACTCAATGTATTTTTAAAAGGATACTCACTTAAATCTGCTTTTCCCTGGATTGGGTGTGGAGGCTGTTTCTCACCAAATTGCATTCCTTCCCTTCCAGGGTTTGCCTGTATCCTTACATTCTTAGTTTCTCCACTTGGAAACGATGCCATTTTTAGTCTCCAAATGATGTACTGGAGAACAAAGCTTGTCACCTGTCCTCTGCTGTATTTAATGTAGAAGCTGGTTTAATAGCCTGAGTTACTTTTCCCAAATTGTTCAAAGGGTGAAATGCAAGGAGGCAGCATCTTCTCTTGGCTGTGGGGAGGAGGTAGCTGCTGTCTTGGTACGCTGTGGCTGCTCCACAGCTGGAAATCCATTGCTCAGCCCCAGGGAGCTGTGAGCCAAGCCAGCTTTGGCTTGTCAGTGAACCCAGAATCTGGTTCTGTAAAGAGACAAAACTGCTGGGTTTTTCTCTTAGCTTGGCAGTGCAGGCTGCAAACATCATCTTTCCATTCATTGTTCATTCAAGCCTCCAAGAGGGGAGTATTGTCCCTTCTAATTAGTTACATTAATTAGCTGGAAAAAACCCCACAACCCTCTGACTGTGATTTTTCAACAGCAGATTGAGAATTTCTGTGAGCTGCCTGAAAAGAAATCTAGCAAACTTGACTCCTCTCTGTAGCTCTGTGTGTGAAAGGCAGAGATAAGAGAGGAGTTGCACTTGTGCACACTCGAGCTCCCAGCCCTCACGTGACTCTCCTAGCAGCATGAAACCATTTCAATCCAGCAGGGAACAGCCTGATTAGCAGGCAGCTCTTTGATCAAAATGGCATAAATTAATTGCCTTTCTCTCTTGAAGTAAATATGCCTTTCTTAGCGTGACTTAATATGTCTCCATTAGCAATTTGATCCACCTCTTTTTTTCCTTGTGAAATGTGACCATCCACCAATTTTCACCCCATATTAATGTTCCACACAAACTGCTGCAGTTGGCCAAGGAACAGAAATCTCAGCCTTGAAAAAAAATTACTGTTTAAAATTGTGATTTGAGAGAGGACGCAATTAAATTCAGTGTTGTAATGTGAGACTTCTAATTGGGATGTGAAATGCTGCAGAGCCTATCTGGCATAGAACACAGCAGTTCACATCCGGAGCTCCCTGAAATTCGCAGCTTCAGCCACAGGCAGTCTGTACCATCAGTTTAGGACTTGGCTCTCTGTGTGAGTTGCCTCAGCCCACCCCTGCTCACAGCATGGGTAGCAATAGCTGCTTGAGAGTGTAATTGCTAAACAAACAGTTTTGACTGAAAAATGGGATTTAGGCTAATGCTTTCATCCATGTTGCTAATTGCACTGGGGATTAGTGAAAGTGTAATAGTTTTAAAAGTTGGTATTTAACCAGTATGCCTTTTTCTTAAGAACTCTGGATATATTTCTCTGTCTCAGATTTTTATTGTCTTAAGTTGCACTATGGGTATTGGATGATCTTCTTGAGACAACAAAACTGCCCAAAAAAGGCTGAAACAAAATGAGGGAGACAAAATGAGGGAGTTGAGAGAATTGGCAACTTGGTACCATTAAGAAAGTTCCTGGGTCAGTCCTGGGGCAGTGGTCAGGATGGGGACTGTCTCTGAAGACATCTGCTCCCGCAGGGATTATCTTGCTTAGCGATGTGCATGTAGCCTAATTCCGCTGCTGCCCAAGTGCAAGAACTCCTTAACCTGGGGAACGTGGCAGAGAAAGAGGCGAGGGAGGCCCTGTCCTGACACTTGTGTCCCTTCTGTGTGCTCAGGTGAAACTGGCATTGGCAAGTCGACGCTGATGGACACGCTGTTCAACACCAAGTTCGAGAGCGAGCCCGCCACGCACAACGAGCCCGGCGTCAGGTTGAAAGCGCGCAGTTACGAGCTCCAGGAGAGCAACGTGCGCCTCAAGCTGACCATCGTGGACACCGTGGGCTTTGGTGATCAGATCAACAAGGACGACAGGTAATCTGAGCGCTGCTGGGACACAAATCCCCCTGCTGGTGCCCTCTGAGGTGGGCAGCAGGTGCTGGGGGTGTTTCCCATTCCCAGCTGCTGCTCCTGCCTAACCCTGTGGAGAGAAGGGTGGGCAGCAGGGCTTAGGAAGAGCTTTTGTTCTCTTGCTGTGTCCTGGCATATACAGCTGTGGTGGGTGTGATTCGCTCTGTCCTCCAGTTTGAGGCTTCCCAGTCCTCCTTTGCGCTGCTTTTTGTGCGGGGTTTTCTTTAACATTTCTCCCAATGTGAGGCCTTACTGCTTTCTTTGCGCACGTCTCTGAGGTTTTTGGTGTCTCATGGTCAAAGACAGAATTTCCATAAGCCAGGAAACCAGAGAGGCAGTAATTTTACAAACCCACCTAGTGGTGTCCATGAAGCTGCCCTTGGTGGAGGGGGAACACATGGAACAACTTTCTTTCCAGAAGCACAAACAGTTAATTTGAATAAGGACATGTTACGCTGCATGAACTGCCTTTTCTCCAACAAAATGGACCCACCAATGTCCATGAATGATGCAGTTGTCTTCTGAGCTTTGCTCATAGGCTTTAGCTCCTGACAAGTCCCTCTTATCTTGTGACTCTCCATTCCCTCTTTTGAGATGATGAGATTTTGGACAAGCTAGGGGGTAGGTCATGTATTCATGTTTAAGTTTTTTTGTTAGATGATTTTCAGTGAGATTGGCAGAGCAGCAGCTCAGACTTGAATTGGACTGCCAAAGGCATTGTTCTTCGCGTTAGCAGTCTTGTGTGGTTTCCATGCACCTGAAATTGAGGGCTGTCGTATCTGTTGTGCTTTGCCTGTGCACCAAGTGGAAACACACCCTTGTGAAGGAGGGACTGCAGGTTGGTGGGGAGTATCCTAAAGCAGTGCTTGTCCCGTGCCATACAGAGCTCCTGAGTGTCCACCAGTGTCCTGTGTGGTCCCAGCTCTAATTCCCTGCTCTTCTCTGTGCCTTCTCTCCCCAGCTACAAGCCCATAGTGGAATACATCGACGCCCAGTTCGAAGCCTACCTGCAGGAAGAGCTGAAGATCAAGCGCTCCCTGTTCAACTACCACGACACGCGGATCCACGCCTGCCTCTACTTCATCGCTCCCACCGGGCACTCGCTCAAGTCCCTGGACCTGGTCACCATGAAGAAGCTCGACAGTAAGGTACTGGCTGCCTGGGTCACCACGGTCCTGTGGTGCTTTCATTATCTTGCCCTCTGCTTGGGAAAATCGTGTCTGGGTTTAGCAGTGGAGAACTGCAGGCAGAAAGTGTGAGAGGTGTACCTGGGGCAAGCTGCTGCAATGGGTCATTATTCTGCTTCACATGCTGCACAGGTTTATTGAGAGTTTGGGCTCCTACTCTTTTCCAGCTCTACCTTGGGTGGGGAGCTTGGCCATGTGCTCCCCAGCTCATCTTTAAAGTCAATAAAGACAGTTGATGTTGTCTTTCTAGTCAGTTAGAAACAAAATGAGGTGCTGTGTCTGCTTGCTCTGACCTCACCCAGCTAGACAAAAACGGTGATGTGATCTGCTATGGCAAACACAGTGGTGTTCTAGCTGTAAAGTCATAGACAAGAATCTGAGTAAATATGTTAGCTGGCATCTAGGTTAGGTGCCCTCATGGGCTTGGTTTAAATCATGGTTCAAATGAGATTGCCCCTCTTCTAGGAAAAATAACTGAGGTACAAATGTAGAGCCTGAGTAGCTAAACTGAGCTTCTCTGTGCTCCTTTCCATCATGATTAAGCAATTTAAATCAGTCCACTGTGCACCTCATTGGATCCTGATTCTGCAGGACATCAATGATGGCAGTGGTTCTTTGTTTCCTAGAGAGGCCAATCGATTGGATTTTATGTGGTGAGGGAGAAAGTTCCTTGCCTTCTTCAACTGAAAATAAGGTTATGGAGATTTATCCCAAGTGAGCTAATTGACATTCCTGGTCTATCTTTTTGGCCAAGGGGGTTTAATAGCTCCAAACAGAATTAAGTGATGTAATAGAAGAGGATTTTTAAGTACTGTAGTTAAGATCCCTTCATATAAGTCGATATTACTGTTATCCTCAGTACAATTTCTGTCTGCTGCTGCAGGGAAAAGCAAACCTGCAAGATCAAAAGCAGAAACTGTCCCTCTGAAGGGAGGAGACAGGGAGAGAAGGCAGGATCGGCAGGATCTTTATCCTTGCCAACAGCCTGCCTAGGGAAGAGAGGCAGTAACTCATCTGTCATCTCAGAGCTGTGCGGGGAGGAGTGATCCCTGGTCCTGCAGTGCAGCAGCGTCCAGGGGCACATGAGGGCACACAGGTGGGGGAAGTGTGCCTGTGTTACTGCCAGCCCCTGTCCTGTGTGTCCCAGGGCTGGATAGGCACCATCTGTTCCACCTCCTGTGGGTGACAGCAGCTCTGCTGCCCCTCCGGTGTCCCTGCTGACATTCCCCTAGTGGGGTCTGTGACAGGCTGTTGTCTGAGCGTGGCTCCAGCTGAAATCCAGGCAGCTGCAGTACCAGGGGATGTGCAGAGATGGTCATTTCCTTTCTCTTTTTTTTTTTTTTTGGAGCAGCTCATAATAATCTATGACAACATTTCCTGTCCAGCCAATTCAGATGAGGAGGGGAGTATGACAGGACAGGAAATAGCATGCTGCCAAATTGCATTTGACTTCTTTCTAAGGCCATCACTGCTGCCTGGAAATCCTACCTGAGGTGGTGCTGCTGGCAGCAGCAGCCCCAGGGAAGTTCATCTGCTGGAGATGCTGGCTGGTGGCACTTCAGGGCTGTCACTGAGTGTTCTGCTCTGTCCTCTCCCAGAGACACAACCTGTGCTGTCCTGTCTTGCAGGTGAACATCATCCCCATCATTGCCAAGGCCGACACCATCGCAAAGAACGAATTGCACAAGTTCAAGAGCAAAATCATGAGCGAGCTGGTCAGCAACGGCGTTCAGATCTACCAGTTCCCCACCGATGAGGAGACAGTGGCTGAGATCAACGCCACCATGAGTGTATGTTATCTGGGGGGTGCCTGCCCTTGCCTTGCCTGGCCCTGTCCTTGATGGCCCTGCTGGGTCTTGCTTGGCTTCAAAACTGCAATTTAAGCACAGACATCAGCCTGGCCAGAAGGCTTTTGGGGGCTGGCAGTACCTGGTCTGATACGTTTCCTTGTGTGATAAACACTTCTCCCCCGTTGCAGTTCTCACATCCTTCCCCTGTTGCAGTATTCCCGTCTCTGGAAAGGAAGAGGATGGGAGGCAGGGCCTCAGTGTGGTCAGGGCAGAGAGCTGAGGTTTGGCTTTCCTGTCCCGAACGACCACTGGCTGCTTCATGGGGGTGATTCATTCACTGCCGCCTTTGTTTCGGTTTCCGCTGGTGCTCCAGCTCTCCACAGCCCAGCAGTGGCTCTGGCTGTTGCCTCCTCCCCTGCCTCTAGACACCAGGTGGGAGGGCACTAAGGGCTAGGCTGGACCTAACATTTTAGTGGGGGTTACCACGGGAAGCAGCTCTTTGCCAAGGGCCTGACTCAGGGTGCAAAGGGAAGACTCTGAGCTCAGGGTTGCTGGCAGTGAGGTGTTGATTGGCCCCAAGAGGATGTGCCAGTCTTAAAACAAGTGCACTCAGATTAAGCTATTTCTTTGCTATTTGAAGGCTGCTGTGAGTTTTGCTGCTCAAGGGCTTGTAGATGGGCAATTATCTCATCCAGCTGAATGTTAGACCCTCTCCACAGCTCTCTATTGCCTCTCTTGCCGTTTTGAGCAGGGAGAAGCTGGCACAGAGAAGGCATGTGGCTCTACCAGCGTGCATTGGTGCAGAGCCCTGCCTTCCTCAGTTGCAGCCTGGCTGCTGGGAAACCCCTTTGCCAGATAATCCCATCTCCTCTGCCCTGACATCTTCCCTTGCCACCCAGGCTGTGACCACAGCTTAGCTGACACAGCTCCTGCTCCCAGAGCTTGCACCCAGCCCCTTTGGCTGCTGTGAAGGCAGGGGGAGTTTTCCGCTGGGCTGGCAGCTGAGGTGAGCTCCCTCCTGGCAGCAGCCACACTTCTGGGAGCAGATCCCAGATTGCTGCCACCACACCCACAGACAGACCTGGACGGAGCAGAGCTCCATGACTCAGATGTGTCAGCTCCGCTCTTCCCCTTGCTCACAGCTTTGCCCTGTGTAAGAGGAAGCACTAGCGGTTCTTTGTAGCAGCAAAATCCCCCTGAATTTTGCCTTCCTTGAGAAGATCTAGTGTATTTTCTTTTTTATTGTTTCACGATTCTTTTTTCTCGGTGTTCAAATTCAGTTCCAGTTTGTAAGACTTGTTCTGTGCTTAAGACAGTAGTGCTTTGTAATTAAATGGAAAACAATGTACGTATCTCATGTTTTTACAACTTCAGAATTTTGGGCTTTAAGTCTGATCGGGTTTCTCATCCAGATTGTCCTGTTGCTCTTCCTGGAGCCAGACAAATTGCAAAGGCGTTTAAACAACTTAAATTTAGCAGAGCTGCCCCAGTAAACAGCTTTCTCGAGAAACAATCTCTGGCAAGGCAGCAAAGGAAATCCCCGGCCTCATTGTCCCTTTCCTTTTGTAGGTCCACCTTCCTTTTGCCGTGGTTGGCAGCACTGAGGAAGTGAAGATTGGCAACAAGATGGCGAAAGCCAGGCAGTACCCCTGGGGTGTTGTGCAGGGTACGTTACCAAGGGCACCAGCCAGGCCTTCTCATCCTGTCCCCTTCTGATCCAAGAATAACCAGTTCTGTTACTTCCATCTCTGGATGGCCCTTACCAAAATCTGAGAGAGCACAGCTGAGATCTGAGCATGGGCATCTGGACATGAAGCCAAAAGCTCCTTCCTGCAGGAGGGCAGAGTTTGGCCAGGACACTGTTTGCAGCCCAGGCTTTACTGAAGCTGCCAAAAATCCAGAGCTGATCCTTACTTTCCAGCTAGCACTGAGAAGTACAGAATTGAGATGGTGATGGTCTCCTTGTGGCTTCAGTTGTGTATCCCATTGGAGAATGGCCCAGGAAGCTGCAGGGGAGCATTCACACTGCAGTTCTGTAAAACTCTCTGGTTTCTCAGTAATACCAGCTGCCCCTGAAGCAGCTTCAGAGACTTCCACTGTGTTTACCAGAGGATGGTACCGGGAAAAACAGTTAGGAAAGAAGCTGATGTATTTGGGAGGTCTTGGACTTGACCTGTACCCTTCTGGGTTCTTGCTGTTCCCAGAAGACTAGGACCAGATAGCTGGAGATTGAGTTTAGACTTGGCCTCTGCAAGCCCCTGTGAGTGCTGGGATTTTGAGTGGGTTTGGGTGGGAAGTGAAATCCTGTGAGCAAACAGATCATCACCTTGCTGGTGCCAAAATGGGTGGGGAGGTGGGAGCCCTGTGACAGATGGGCAATGCACAGATGGTGCAAACCCAGTGCAGGCCTTGAGCTCAGGCCCGTGCTGGCGTGGGATGGCTTCAGCCCCAGCTCAGCAGGGCCTCTTGGTGCGGGCTGGCTCGGAGCTGTGCTCTGAGGTTTGCTGCACTGGGGCCCAGCTCCCGGGTTTCATGTTCTCCCTGTGGATATTGTGTCGTTTTTGCAGTGGAAAATGAAAACCACTGTGACTTTGTGAAGCTGCGGGAGATGCTGATCCGGGTGAACATGGAGGACTTGCGGGAGCAGACGCACACCCGGCACTACGAGCTGTACAGGCGCTGCAAGCTGGAAGAGATGGGCTTCAAGGACACAGATCCAGACAGCAAACCTTTCAGGTAGGGATGTGCAACACAGGCACTGCTGTGCTCTGCAGTCTGCTTGCTCTGCTGCTGCTCAGGGCTGCCTGAAATTCTGGTGAGGAAAAGTGCAGCCATGTCTGTGTGACAGCAAGGTGGCCCGTGCTCTGGGGACATCCTGGGGTAAATGATCTTTTGACCCTCCTGGAGCTCCTCACAGCTGGCCCAAGGTGAGCTGTGAAGAGGGTGCCACGGTCTCATGCCTGAGGTTTGGCTGATTACTGAACACATAGTTCATTCTGTCAGACAGCTTTATTGGTCTGCAGCCCAAGCCATTAGCCAGGGACAGCAGCTGTGTGGGAATTTGGGAGGGAGTGTTTGTTTTCTCCCTTCATTTCCTGTTTCCCATTCCTCCCCAGTAATTGCACCCCCTGCCTCACAGTGTTCCATGTCCTCTCTGCCTCCTGGGGAAGGCAGTCAGAATTCCAGTGCACCGGTGGGGGCTTGCCCTGTAACACACATGTGTGTCAGGGGCTGGCATTGGTTTGGGGTCTTGTTTCTGACTTACTGAGTTGATGCAGCTGCACTTCTTCTGCAGCAGAAACCTGGCTGGAATCAGTCAAGCCCAGTTCTGTTACTAAGCCCAAGTGTGAAGCTTTATTGGATTTCCTTTCTGGAGAGCAATGGCTTAAGATGGGCTCAGCCCTTCCTTTGGAGGAATCTGAGGAATTTCCATTGCTTCCTGTACGCGAGGCCTCTTTTGACCAAGCTATAAGTAGAAAGGAAATGAAAATGTACAGAATTTCTCCATCTGGTACGTGCTAGTTCAGAGCAGCTCACTCTGGGTGCCTTTTCCCTCCAATAAACAAACAAAACCTATGATCCCAAGCTGTTTGGCCGAGGCTGATGTATATCTGAAATGAGGGAGACATTCTCTCTGAGCTCAGGGATCAAAAGGATGCTTTTCCCTGCATCTTGGCCCCAGGAGCCACAGGAACTGCTGCCCTTCAGCCAGCTTGCATCAGCCAGGAGCAGGGAGCCTTTGGCAAATCTCAGGGGGAGCAGGGCAGGAGGTCCCAGCAAAGCCTTGGTGCTGTGTAGGAGCTTCTGTGAGGTGTGGAAAAGGGGCACTGCTGGTGTCTGAGACCCCCACATTGCTTGGCCAGGCTGCCAGAGGTCGGGAGGGAGCCCCAGGATCCCAACAGGCATCAGCCCCATGAAATGAGGTCTCTTTGCACAGAGGCCATTCTGCTGTCCTCTGTCTGTTGTGGGCTGAATTCTTTGCTGCTCTGTTGAGCTTTTCAAAATTCTCCTTTTTCAAGTAATATTATTTGCCAGGGCATCCTTCAGTGTGTGGGGGTGTGTTGGGAAATCAAGTTACTCTTGTAGTTTAGGTTCATATGGTTGTGTACTTAAAAGCCAATTCCCTTGTCATCTTTGCCTGTGAGAAGCAGCAGGGATCCCAGTTGGTTTGGACTGTTATTCCTTAGGGCTGTAATTGTTTTTTTCACATGCAGCCTGGGAGTTGCCAGGCCTGTTTCTCTGAGAACTTGGCTCCTCTGGAAGTCAGAGTCACTGCAGCAGAGAATGAAGCTTTGAACATGGGACAATTTAACAGGAAGCCCCTGCCCCTCTCACTCCTGCCAGGCTTTTCCTGCTTGCCCATCACCCAGCACGGTGTTTCTGGAAGTGAGCTTTGAAGGAGTGTTTGCAGATCCCACGAGCTGCGTGCAGAGCTTTCTGTTTCACTCTCTGAGGCTCTGCTGCTCCCTAGGACAGCGTGGCACTAATTGCAGATTCAGTTTGTGCTCACTGAGCAGCAAAGGCTCACCTGCCCTCGGGCTTTGCCACATCCTTCACAAGGAATTGAAGTTTCAGTGTCCGCAGTCAGAGCATTAAATCCAGCACTGAATTTTAGCGAGGTTTTGTTTTGAGTCTCCTGAAGACTGTATGCTGTGAGAGGTCTGGTTCTGCATGTAGCTAAAAATCCAAAGATAGCTCTTGCCCTGCTCTCCCACGAAAGGACTTTTGTAGTTTTTAGAATCAGTATTTTTGCTTCCATGTGTAGGAAGCTGGTGTGGTCATGTGGAATGGTGTGATTTCTCTGGGGCGGCCGGTGCTGTGCCAGAACAGCTCTGGGCATCCTGTCTGGGGGGTATTTTAGGAGGTAACTGAAGTGCCCATTAATTAGCAGAGTTAAATACAAGGCTTGAGATAATCTGACAAGTTGTGTTCCCCAGCTCAATATTGCATCCCCTAAAAAAACCCCGTCCAATAAAAAAGCCATCAAACCCCCCGACACTGCTAGGAAAAGTAAAAGCTTAACTTGTTGGAATTAGGATGTTCCACTGGCCCAAGAGTTAATGTGTTCCTGAGGCACATGGGTGCAACGTGTCTGTGTGACTTCAGTGGAGTTTTCATTTTAAAAATGCTTTTTCAGAAAAGCCTCTTGGGGGAAATAGTTATCATTCCCACACTATCATTATGGCTGGGCTATCCAAATCCATTTAAGGAATAAAACAAAAGAGGAATTTGGCATCCAGAGTTCCTAAGAGGCTTTAAAAATCTCAGAGGTACATGGACAACGTATTTCATGTCCCAAATCTTCACCGCCTATCTCAGTGCTGGGGAAATGAAGGAATGCCAAGGAGTGGAGAGGGAATGAAGGAATCCAGTCATGTGGCTTTTTGGAGTAGGAAGGCTGCTGATGGTTTGCAAAGGCCAAAGGAGAAAGGGAGGTCTCCCAGGATGGTGTTATCTAAATCAAGCTCCTGATGTGACTCTATCAGCAATGAGTAGTGAAAATGATTCTGCTCTGTGTCAGTGTCGTGCCTAATGAGCTACACAGGGGCAGATTTCTCCCGGGTCTGCTACACCAACCTTGCATTTGGCAGGCAGACTTGGCACAAACACAGGGAGAAGGGAGGCGGTGTGGCTCCGAGGGATCCCGGCCCCGTGGGCATCGGGGATTGCTGCAGGCACTCGTGTGGAGGCTGCTTCCCTTGCAGGACAGGGCGATGCGCAGGGACGCTGTGCAGGGAGCTCGGCTCCTCCTTGCCATTCGCCTCCCGCTGCCGCCCCCTAGCCCGCTGCCATGGCTTTCGCGGGGCTGCTGCTGCCTCTGCTGGAGCCTCTGCCGTGCTTTGCGACACCACAGCCCCAGTGCTGAGGTCTCCGAGGGCTGGAAGCTCCTGGCTGTGCTTGAAACACTGTTCTGACTGGGGTTTGTGTGCTTTTAACAGTCTCCAAGAGACTTACGAAGCAAAGAGGAATGAATTCCTGGGCGAACTCCAGAAGAAGGAGGACGAAATGAGGCAGATGTTTGTCATGCGAGTGAAGGAGAAGGAAGCAGAGCTGAAGGAAGCGGAGAAGGATGTGAGTATATTGTGACTGTGAGGGCAGGGCTGTTAGAGACCATGTCCTGCTGGGGCAGGAAGCTGCTCCTCAGGCCTCGTGCTGCTGCAGAGGTGCAGACAAGAGTACGGCCCTCAGTGCCCGAGTTCCCGTGTTCTGCACGAACCGATAGAGTACCAGGGTACCGAGCACTGAGGGGTGCAATATGGAGCTGCTGCTGCTATGGGAATTCCTGCTCTCTGGAGTGCCAGGGAGTGTTACCTGCAGGGCTTTTCTCACGAGTCAGGCAGACTGGGGACGGGCTGATGGCCTGCAGGCAGTGCAGGGAGGCCTCAGTGCCAGCAGGAACACCTGGGGCGTCATAAATCAGGGTGGAACAATCCTTCCTCTCTTCCCAGCCAGTTCTCACTGTCTCTGTCCCGGCAGCTTCACGAAAAGTTTGACCATCTAAAGAGGACTCACCAAGAAGAGAAGAAAAAGGTGGAAGACAAAAAGAAGGAACTTGAGGAAGAGCTGAACAACTTTCAAAAGAAGAAGGCAGCAGCTCAGCTATTACAGTCACAGGCTCAGCAGGCAGGTTCTCAACAAACCAAGAAAGACAAGGACAAGAAAAAGTAAGCGGTTGTCACCCACACCCTTTGTAGGGTTTGTTATAAATTTTGGGAGGTTGTTTTTTTTTTTTTTCTTGCTGCATGTCTGTATTTGCTTTTCCCCATTACCAGACTGGAAACAGGCCTTTTCTCAGCCTGATCAAATAAAATATTTTTTTTTCTAAAGGGTGGGCCAGGGACATGATCTTAATTTTTCTCTAGAAGAGTACCTTCAAATTTTATCTTCAAGTCTGACTGGTGTGGGAGAGCAATTGGATGGTGGAGTTTTGATTTGTGATTTGTTCAGCATCTTCTGGAACTATGGGATGTTCTGGACTGAGATTTTTCTGCCCGAGCCAGAAGTATTAAGGGAGTTGCTACCCGTCCTTTCTTTCACCGGTAGTCTCCAGTTCCCATTCCTTAAGGTTGTAGTTGTAAGTAGACGTAAATTAGAAACCAAAACCACCATGTTATTTTTACATGGGGAATGCTAGTGCCAAAAGTGATGACTTGGAAGCTTGCTTTAAAGACAAGAAGCTTTGGTTTTGTATTTTTTTAGAAAAACAAACTACTACGGTACTGTAATTGCAGTTAAATGGCATTTGTGGTTGTATCAAGTTGACATAATAAGCTAAGAAACCTTTACCTTTTAGTCAAGATCATGGCACTGTTTTTTACTATTTTATATTTGTGTCCTAGGAGTGTGATCCTTTGCCTTCCCCTGGCTTTCTCCATTCCTAGTAAGAGGGTGCTCATGCAAGTCCTTAGTGAGTCACCTGTGCTAAGGGTGCTTAGTTGGTACTGCCATTGGGAAGGCTGGGGATGCAGCAGATCTCATTGGAAAACACTTGGTTAACCCACACACAAAAACGACAGTTCCACGCTGCTTTCACTGCCCAGGAGAGATTGGGGTGTTCCTTAGAGCAGCAGGGGTGGTGTCACCCCTGGCAGAGCCGAGTGCCAGCAGGGCTGTGCTCAGGCCCTTGTGTCTGCCGTGCCAGCCTGGGAGCTGCAGCTGGCCTGAGCTGTGTGGCAGCAGCTGTGCAGCAGATGCGCTGGCGTTTCACAGCCTGCACCCTCGCTGCACGGCCCTGTCTCTGGCTCTGTGCCCGGGCAGGTGGGCAGGGCCCGGGGCCGCTTCCTGGGCTGCCGTCAATTGATGTAGCTCCTATGGAGCCGTGCTGCTCGCTGCTGCCCGAGGAGCTGGCCCTGGGCCCTGCCAGGATCCGGGGAGTGCTGCATGCTGCACGCTCTGCTCGGGGAGAAATCCTTACAGACCAGACCCAGGGGTGTTGGGCTGAGCGCTGGAATGGGCCAGTGGCGGCAGCTAAGGCCCAGGCATGCTGAAACCCCCTGCTGCAGATAGATAGCTGGGACACTCATCTTCTCTCACCTGAGATCTCAGACATGGTGATGTATTCCCTAAAGAAAATAGAAAGTTTTGAAAACCCTTTTCCTTATCTCTCAGAGTTAGCCTAGTATTTTTAAGAACTGTGCAGTCAGATTTTTTCGTCTCTCAGCTGTAGGACCAGTGCAGTACAGAATGGCCTGGGGAGTTCTGTCCCTTTGGGTGGTCAGTGTGAGCTCCTGTTTGGTTCCAGCCTCATGGGTGAGACAGGGCTGTTCCCTGGGACCGTGACAAACACAGGTTCTGCTTTGCTGCTGCGTTCACAGAAATCCAGCCTCGAGGAACATGCCCGTGTTTTAGTGTGCCCTTTGTGTCGCTCCACGCCAGGTGCTGTACCTGCTGCAGGTGTTCTCTAGTGTCAGAGTTACTAACAGAGGCTTTCAAGGGAAATGCTGATGCTCCTGCCTTGTAGCTTGCCTTGGTTTTCTGAAGGCTTTCAGTTTCTCCTTGCCCTCTAATGTGGAGCTGCAGTTTGTGTAGTTAAGGCTTCCAACCTCTCTCTCTGCTGCCATGGCCTGTGGTGCTTCTCGTGCAGTTGCCGGAGGAAAGCCTTGCCATGCCTGACCCTTACAGCCTCCCCACAAAGTAATTAATGGGAATGCTTGATTTTTCTCAAGGTGGGATTGGATTTCTCTGTTTAGGCAAGAGAGACTTCCCACTGTGGTGTGCATGCTGGAGGGAAGGCTCAGAGTGAAATCTGCTGCTGGCCTGACTCCATGAGGGAGAGCTCAGCCTTCTTGATTTCCAGACTATTCCCCCAAAAATTCTCTAGCTTGTACTCTTTTTATCTAAAAAGTTTGGGGCTGTGGCCTGACAGCAGCAGTGTTTGGGGACAGCACACCTGTGTCCCTCAGGCACCGAAGGGGTGGCTGCAGAGCAGACTCTGGCCCTTGCCTGGACGTGGGGCTGAGCCCCTGCTGCAGGGACTGTGCTTCCAACCCGACCGGTCTGGAGAGAGCTGCTGGCAGCAGAGCCAGTGGGAGAGGCAAGCAGCCTTGTGGTGCTGGCCTGCTGCAGGCTGCATGGCCGCATGCCTCAGCACGTGCTGCTGTTGCTGCTCATCCGCAGCCCCCCAGGAGCCAGGACCATCTGCTTGGCTTCTGTCTCCAGTTATTAAAAGCTGCCTCTGAAAGCCAAGTGCAAAACCTTTTTTTCTTTTCCCCAGTTCCTTTCCACTTAAGTTTCCTGTCCAGTGTGCCTGGTCTGGCCATCAGGGACCATGCTAGTCCCAAAGCAGTCCCAGAGCTACAACACCCCTGTCAGGGCCTGGCCCACCACCCTGTGAAAAGAGGGGTTTGGTGGTGCCTGGAAGATCTGAGCTGACTGTGAAAGCCCAAGTGCTTGGAGACATCCTGGTGTCCAGGTGTGAGACACCTGAGCTATCCTGCTGGGATGTCCATGGCAAGTACCCCAGGCTGGCCCCCTGCACCCCGTCCCAGCTGGGAACAAGTGAGCCCCAAAGCCACCGAGCTCTGTGGTGACAGGCTGTCACCTGGGCCAGCTTACAGGGTTGGTTGGTCAGTACTTCTGTGTCTGCAGTTTTTCTTTTTGCTTGTCATAGGCCAGAGTAGAGCCCAGCCTTGAGGTTGAATTTCTTTGTAATTCCATAATCCATCTGCATGCCCACCCACCGGAGCGGGTTGCTGGTGTTGGCTCTCCTGGCTTTCTTTATTTTTTTTACATTTTGAGTTCAATTAGTGCTAACTTTTTTGTTTTTTGTTCTGTTTTTTTAACTTGCAGTGCAAGCTTCACATAAAGCCTGTCGAGCCAAGGATGTTCCTGCATTCACCTGCTTTTGCAGTAATGTGTCTCTGCCATCTGTTTTCTTTTTATATTTTTTTTCCATTTTTTAACATGAATAACTATTAACTCATCTAATAACATAGTGGGAACAAGAAGGAAGAGGGATTGGGTGCAGGACTGTGCAAGTGGAAGTTCAGGGGTGGGTGGAGGGACCAGGTAACCATGATGACACCGTGCATTTTTCTCACCAAAACCATCAGCAGTAAATTACTTTTGGCCCCCAGTCTGAGCCAAGAGTCAGAGTTGGCTGTCAGCAGCTCAGGTGTTGGCTGGCTCAGGTGCCCTCAGTGCTGCTGGCTGTGCTGTGGGATGCCCAGGGAGTGGCTGGCTCAGAATGTCCCAGCCAGCCCAGGCCGTGGCTGGAGCTGGAGCTCAGCCTGAGCCACGTCCCTCAATGTGTGGAGCAGCCCCAGTGCCACGGGCAGAGGGAGGGGGTGTGTGCAGATAACCCAGCGTAACTGACCCTGCATGCTGTGACATTTGCATGATAATCTGTGTAGCTCCTGTTCCTGCTGCCCGCCCTGGCCTGGGTTCCAGCCTTGGGGAGGGACCGTTCCCAGCACTGCTCCATTGCCTCCACCCTTTGGAGCCTCCCTTAAAATCCTGCCTGCTTTCCAAGGGGCAGGATCTTAACGAGGCTTAGCAGCCCTCATGGAATCAAATGCCTGGGCAGGGGGGAGATCAGAGCCTTCAGCATCCTCTTGGAAATTCCCGGTGCGTGTGGGATCCACAGTTCCAGGCCAAGGGAGAGAAGGTGCCTGGACACAGTCTCTGTGCTGCCCCCAGCCCTCCTGCAGCAGGAATAATGTCGCATTCAGGTGTTCCTAGGACATGCCAAGGAGCTGTAGGATAAGCCAGGCCCTGCACACAGTGGAAATGGGGCTGTTTCAAGTGTTTTTTCCATGCCATTGCTTGCAGGCAGTGTCATTCCCTTCCTTCCCAAGGAGTGGCAAGCCGTGCTTACCCTGTGACTCCTGGATTTCTTCCTCTGCCAGTGCACAGCCAGCACTTGCTAGCTGGGCAGTCTCTTTAAAGCCTTCTTTAAACCCTTCTTACACAAAACTCTTCCTACCTGAGTCTCCCACTACAGCTGTTTGCCTGCTTCTGGATGCAATTTCTCTGGGGAGAAAAGAAAAGGCAGACTTCTCACTTCTTTTAATCACTCGTTCCTCAGGTGTTGGATTGGGAAGTGCTTGGAGGTTAGCTTATGGGTCGTCCTGCTTTTTAACCCTCACTGCTTAAACATGGCTTTAGGAAGAGAATATCTATGAACCATGTCTTGGTAGACAGCAAAAATTGATAAATAAGCTGGAAATAAAGCAGTTAACCTTTTTATCCTTTTAAAAAATATGTATAATTTCTTTTTTTTTTTTTTTTAGATTATTTTAAAGTAGTTTTTAAAATTATTATTCTTTTGTTGTTGTTGTTTGGGTTTGGTTTTTTTTCCCCTCCTGGAGTTGCCAACTATGCACTTTTCATCGGGTTAAATAGGTTTGCTGCAGGGTTAATTGGAAAAATGAAATTCTGGTTGTTGTGGCTTCTGGCAAACCCAGCTTTAAAATCTTGAGTTATGAAGGAAGAAGTTTGAGTTGTTTGCATGAGTTTTTTACAGTCACATCACATGCCCATCACCGAGTGCTCGTGGCAATATGCTTTGCTTCAGCTGCCTCTATGCATGTCATCTTTTTAATTACCAGTGTTTTGTGCCAAGTAGAAAACTTAATTTTAACATTTATTTCTCCTGCTTCATTTAACAGCCCTTCAAGGGATGTTTAGCAGGGGAAATCAGCTGAGCTGAGCTTTTCCTTTTTGACAGAAAGCTGTGGCCAAGTTACATTAGTGTCTTTTTGGTTGAGTTTTTCTCCAGCAGAAAACCAGCTGTGTTGGAGAAACTGGGAATAAACCACAAACTTGAAGATGTCAAAGGTACTGTTCTGGTTTTTTTGCCAAAGGAGATGGAAACTACTTTTTTTCCCATCTTGAACCCCTCTGGGCCATGTTTAGCTTGTTCCTGCTGCTCTTGTTGCTTTTCCTTTCCCTGTGCCTTTTTTCCCAGTAGCCCCTGATGTGCATGGAGTGAATGATAGACTCAGGTCTGGCTGGATGTGCTTTCACCTCTGCATGTAAGTACAGCAGGAAGAGACTGACCCTTCCTGCCTCGCTCCTGACGGGAGAGCAGCCGTGCTGTTCTGGGAGAGGCTGCAAGGCACTCACTTGCAAGTGGGGTGGCTAACGCCCCTCTGAAACTGCACGTTCCTCACAAGGTGGATTTCAGTCCTTAGGCTAACACAGAGGAGCAGGGCAGGCCACTGAAATGTGCTTTTTCTGGGATGGGGATGTTCCAGGGCATGAAGCAAACCCCAGAACGGAAAAGCGAAGGCAGTCCAGGTCTCTGTGAGGGGCTGTGGCTGCTCTGCAGAGAGGGGCACACGTGGGTCTGGCAGGCAGTGGCAGAGGAGGAGATGGGTTAAGGGTTTGTTCCCCAGAACGACGTTGTTCCTTGCAGGGGGGCAGTGAGTAGGAAGGTGCCCTTGCAGCTCATGGTTGTGAAATGCATCCTCTTGAGATGCATCTCCTGTGGCGCGAGCTGCAGGAGCCACAGGGGAAAGCCGGCGCTGGCACCCACGCCAGGCTCCTCTCCAGCTGGAGAGCTGCCGCTCCTGTCACCCCTCCACGTGCTCCTGACAGCCTGAAATGCCAGCAGGGAGCTGCGTGTCTCCCTGGAAGGACATCCACGTTAAACAGGGCCCGTGGTTCTGCAGGCAGCTCTCCTCTGCTCCTCCCAACCCCTCCCCGTGCAGACGGAAGTGTCTTTTTGTGTGTGACCACCTCAGCTGTGTCCGTGTGACTCCAGTCCCCTTCCGTGTCCCTTCTCCCCGGGCCTGGGCTGCACGTGCAGGCTGTGAGATCTGCGGCGCTCTCACCAGCGTGTGCCAGCACAGAGCTCTACAAATATGAAGGGTTTTTTAATTAATGGGAAACAAAGCTGTGAACAGCGGTAGAAATCTTGTATTTTTAATATCCTGATTGCCTTAAACCATAGATGTAGGACTTTATTACCTTGCTATTGGAAAATAACCCATGTTTGTAACTAAACAATTGTGTAACCTACATACAGTGTTAATGCAAATGATATGTATGCATCTGTTAGATATTGTCACTTTATTTGATGTTAAAATATTTCAGTTTTTGAATTACAGATGGAATAATAACCTTCTAGCATAAGCTCAGTTATTTCTTGTATATGCTTCAGGCTGCAGATCCACATAGTGCCAACACTTGAAGCGGGGAGAGGAAATATATTTTTACCCAAAGCTTTGGTCTTTGCGTGGCCTCTGTGACATTTGCTGTTGCCGTTGTGTGGCGGGGTGACAGGAGGGTCACCTGTCAGCCTCTGCCTCCCCAGCAGCTTGTTCTGTGCCTCTGAGGTGCTCTGTAGGTTCGTGCTGCTGTTTGTCAGTCGCTTCATGAGCCGGGTCCCCACCCCAGCTGGCGTCCCGGGGAGCTCGGGCCAGAGTTGCTGTGTGTGACACCTGTCCAGTACATTGATATTGAACATGTTGTTCCTCCTTTGTTCCACCCTCACTTTTTCATTTCAATTCTGAACCTCTGTTTCTCTTCTCTTCTGTTTTTCTCTTTTTTTCTGTAGCTTCTTCTTTATGTAACCGTCACCTTGCCAAAGCCCCCGCACCCTCTCTCCCAGTGGACCGTAGGGCACTGGAAGAGCTGCGGATCCGGGCCCCCCTGCCAGGAGAAGAGCCGCCTCATTCCTCCATCACGCCTGCCCTCCTCTCCTTCCCCCTTTGTTCCCACCCGTGCGTCTGAGGGTGTGCTGTGCTGTGTGTCTGTGCGGGACGTGCCCGCTCCGACAGCGTCCCGGCTCGCAGCAGTGCTGGAGGGAGCTCGGCCGCGCTCTGCCTCCTTGCTCTGGGTTAGTTGGATTTTTTGCCTCCCTCCCCGCTTTCTTCTGCCATAACGTGCACACGCTGCTGGTGACACACACAGTGACAGACTGGGGTGTGAGTGTGCATAGCTGGAGGATTTAATTTCTGCCTCCAGCCTGGCTGCTTTGGACACCACAACTTCATCTCAAGAGCGTTCTGTGCTCCTCTGGCATGGCTGGAAATCTCTCCGTAGACCTGTGATGTTCTCAGTGTGTCACTGTGTGACGGTGGATGTCCCATCCTGTGGCACTGATGGAGCCTGTCCTGGACAGTCAAGGCCTTATTTTCTGGCTGTGCCTCGCTATGGGCAGAGCGGGATTCTGGTTTTGTACAGCCGAGCTGCACTGGCTCGCACGCAGATCCAGGGCTTCGTTTTGTTTTCATGAAGCCTAATTAGTGATTATTTTTTTAACAGTCCTGAATGTGGGCAAGTTGTTAAAATTTCTATCTTGTTTACTTTGGAAGTGAACTCAGCTGAAAAGTTTGACAAATGCCAAAGGATTGCTTGAAGGTAAAAACAAAACCTGTAAATGTGTGTAGTGACCTCCAGCTGGTTTGGGATGGAGGGAAGGAGGCAGCCCGAGCCTCTTGGAATGTTGGTTGGTGTAGAGTGATGCACTTTGATTTTGAACCGAATACTAGTGATTTATTCTTTGCATCTGTGAACCTTAATCAAGGACTTCCCTTCCTTTAGCCTGCCAAGGTAAAGCTGCCCTGAGTTGGTCTAGGTTTGGCCTCTGGCAGTCAGTGTGTGTGACATGCCAGCTGCTGAGGGGCTCTGCTGAAATCTGCTGGGGTTTTTTTCACAAGAACAGTGTTTTGCAGCACTCTTCAGTGACAAGGGTCAGCTCCCTGCTTGTCCTGGAAACCTCTGCAACCAAAGAAGTGACTTTATAGATGCACTCAGAAAGGTTATTGAGTGCTGGCCCTGTGTGTGCTGTACCCTGGTACGTAGCTGGACTTGCTGGTTGTCGCCCAGCCTGAAGGGCTGTCAATATTTGCACAAGTGCAGCTTGGGACAGGACTTGCAGTGATACCAAAACCAGAGCCTGCCCCGCTCTCGAGGCAGGTGGTACCCAGTGCCTCCCACCAGACAGCCAGGTTAGAAACCTGTTTAATTCAGCTTTAACTGAGTACGAAGCAGGGTTGAGGCCATTGCTGGATGGGACGATGCAGCCGTGCTGCGAGCTGCAGGTGGCAGCACACGGCCTCTAGAGGTCCCCTGCAGCCCAAATTGATTTGTGACTGTTCCAAAGCTCGATGGCGGCGCGTGCCGAGGTGCCGCTCACCAAATCCTCACAGACTGAACTCAGCTCGAAGGGAATGGGCTCAAAACATGGAGTAGCTTTCTTACCGAGCAGGTACTAAACTTCCGGGCTTTTTTTGCCCCAGGTTGTTGAGGTGGACGGTGTCAGCAGAAGGTTTTGGGGTTGGTTGGGGGTTTTTGAAGGGTAGATTCAGGGAGAACATGTCCAGAAGGAAATCAGTGCCGCTCCGTTGGTGGTGGGAAACAAGGAGCCCTGGCAGTGCTCCAGCAGTGGGAGCAGCATTGCAGCCAGCCTGCTGCTGAAGGTGGTGGGGCTGGAGGGGGCAGCTGCTGCACCTGCTCCAGGGAAGAGCAAAAACAACGAGGTGCTGTCAGTGCCACAGCCAGGAAGGCGCCAAGCATCCAGGGCCCATGCCAGGACAGCAGGACACTGCAGAGATGGCTCCTCTGGACCAGGGTCAGGGTTCGTGCACAGCACCAAGGAAATAAAACGTGTCTGTCTCTGCAGCCCACTGGGGCTGGGGCATGCTGTGTTTGGGACTGGGGAGAGGGAAAGCTGCCTCAGCAGCCAGGGACACTTGAGTCCTGCTTCCCCGGGCTGGCCAAGTCAGCACTGTGGCTTGGCCGGCGTCAGGCAGCACAAGGAGGCCAGGAATGGTTTGGGGCAGTTTTGGGAGAGCCACAGCGATGCTGTTAATTGGGTGTGTTTGGAAGGCAGAGCTCTGCCCTCAAGGCTGGCACGAGCTGGGGCTCTGCATGACCTGCTCTTGTCCCGTGGCTTTGGGAGTGGGAAACAGTGATAAGGACACATTTACCTTCCCAGAGTGACACACAGCCATGGCTGCCGCACACCTGGGACAGCAAACTGCCCCAGAGGCACCCAAATATCTCGAGGCCCAGCTCCCCTCCTTGCTGTTCCAGCCAGGTCCCTGCCAGCTGGCACGGGCTCCCTGCTCCCACCCTCATGCCAACTCCTCTCCCTGGCTGGAAGGAGCATGGCGAGGGGAGATGCCAGTGTCATTGAACTGGGAAAGGTGTGAGCTGGAAGCAGGGAGCCCAGAACTGGGCTGCACTGCGCTTTACTTGGGGATGTGCTTGTGACACCTTGAGCCTGCTCAGCAGCCTGGCTTTGGAAAACTGAGCCGTGGGATGAGAAGGTCAGGGACTGAAAATTCTGTAAGGATGGCAGGAAGGGCTGGAAGGGAAGGAAGACACACACCCTGCTGAGCAATGTGGGCTTGAGGGGGAATTTTTGAGCCATGGCGGGAAGAAGCCAGGCCCAAGGGAAGGTATCCCGGTGGACTGCTGCAGTAAGGTGGCACCGTGGAAGGCCGGGAGCAGGAGGGGCTCCAGGACAGGGACACGGAGCAGGGTCCCAGCCAGGCACTCAGCCGGAACTGCGGCAGAGGCAGCGAGTTCATGCCGGGAGCCTCCCCTGGCTGCCCAGCACCTCTCATGCCACCATTCCAGGGGTCTGGCACAGAGCAGCTCCCTGGCAAGCTCCAGGTAAAGCCAAGCCAGGTCTTGGGTGAAAAGCACAACACCAGAGTGGGAATCCAGGACAACTTTCTTTATTGCTACCAGAAGGCTTTCATCAGTACAATGGCTCTGGTTACAATACCTTCCTCAGGGCTGTGGAGAGAGCTTACAGTCGGGACAGGGTGTTCTGAGAACAGGGTGTCACACGGAGGAGACGCGTTACAGGGCGGACTCTTGGTTAGAAGTTACATGAACACAAAACTCAGGGGTTGGGGTGTTCTGTTTTGGTTCTGTGCCTGATGATGACACATTCCAAACCTCAGGTGTCCACAGCTGCCCCGGCACCTCACCCAGCAGTGCTGGGGAGTGTGCAGGGAGAACCGGGCTCTGCACAATTCAAGGGTTACGTCTGATGGAGAGAACCAAGCCTTGGTGAGAATCCACACTCAGTGCTACACAGCAAGAAAAAAATGGTTTCATTCTAGTGATGCATAACCCAGTAACTGCTTTCTGTGCTGGGACAGACAAAATGGTGTAACAGGGAGAAGTCTCTGTGCAAGACACAGAGCACCTTCACACTCTTGTGGGAATTACTGAAGTGTGGACCAGCTTGCAAGCATTGGTTTGGGTTTTTTCCCTGCCTAATCTTTTGTTTAAATCCAGTTTTTCAATATTACCACGTTTAAACACCCAGCTATTAATCAAAGAGGTTTTCTGTTTAGAAGGGCAAAAGAAAGCTGTGGTGGAGGTGGGGCAGGACAGAATGTCATGCACGAGACTGGCTGAGAACTAAAAGAGGAGCAGGCAGAAAGGGAGCAAGGAGCGGGTGGGAATGGGATCAGAGAGGCATCAGTTGGTTGGGAAACCCGGAACAGCTCCGCAGGGCTGGTGTGTGAGCTCTCGGATGTGGAGAATGGGTTACAACACACAGGAGCAGAAAAACAGTGGAACCGACAACACTAGAAAGGAACAGGTTTTTGCTACTTTTTTTGTTTGGTTTTTGGGTCTTTTTTTAGATTTTTATACTTTTTTGTGTTTTTAAGTGCTTAAATAGTGGAACTATAATTAGCCGCACAAGAAATAAAATTCAAAAAAAGGGTCGGGATTTTTTTTTTTTCCTGGTTTTCTTTTGGCTCCCTTCAGTTCAGCCTGACAAGGTACGGCCCCTTCTCGCCCCGCTGAGGCCACGGGCTGCCACGGCAGCTACATGACAGACACGGGCTGCAGAGGGGGACAGGGGGACACGCTGCCCTCCTGCCGCGAGACGTCGGCGCCGCAAACGGAGCCCATGCTCTCCAGGGCCACCGCCTCCGGAGCCAGCTCCTCGTTGTACAGGCGCTTGATGCCGTCGTAGAAGTCGTCCACTTCCATCTCCTCCACCTTGCGCTTGGCGGAGCCTGCCTTGCAGCCGCCGGCGGGGGCGGGCGGGCGCGGGCAGAGCGCGGCTGTAGCTGAGACGGGCGCTTCTGGCCGGCCGTTGTCCTGGGACAAACCCGGCCCTGGGACAGAGGAGCGCTGGCGGTGGAACGCTCCTCTGTTACAGGTCACCAGGGTCTGCTGGAGGGGACTGTAGACATATACAGAGTTGGGCAGCAGAGAAGGCTGCAGAGTGGAAAGGTGATGTGCCGCCAGCTCCCGGCAGTGGATCAGCTGCGAGCTGTCCATCTGGGAAGACAAGCAAAGGTGCCGCGGCTGTGGGATCGCTGGCACGGTGAGGAGAGGACACGGGCTCCCAGCACCCTGGCCACCTGTGTGCCTCACTTGCCAACTACCACGGTGACTTCCCAAGATACAACCCCTGCTCCTTCCTGCACCTTGTGGGACTCGTGGGGGGAAGCAGGCACAACTTGGAGATATTGAAGGATTTCACTGCCTCTTGTTAGCAGCTGGGGTGTGCTCCCAGAGTACCTGCACAGTTCCCTGTATGCTGTGAATGAATGGAGGAGCCACTAACAAGTGGAGTTGTCCCCTGCTGTGTTTTCTCCCTGGTGCAGCAATGGCCCGTGTGTATCAGGGCACATGGCTCCTGCCCCTGTCACACAGAGCAGGCGGTCAGGACTGAGACCTGGCAGCACTGTCCCTCCAGCTGTCCCTCCAGGCTGAGGCCCAGCCATCCCCACAGGAGCGGAACAGCAGGCAGCCGTCGGCAGCAAGGAACCACAGAGCCCCCCCGGCTGGCCCGGAGCACCCTCCCTGCTCACCTGTGCCTTCTGGAGCAGCTCGATGATGAGAGCCAGCCAGTCGGGGAGCAGCTTCTCCAGCTCCAGGCTGACGATGGCCAGCGCCAGCATGGAGCCCTTGAACTGCAGCAGCTGGAAACAGGCCATGCAGTGCAGCAGCTGCTTGGTCAGCGCCGCCACGTGCTGCGAGGGGCTGGCCGTGGGCAGCAGGGCCAGGAGCTGCGGCCTGCTGGACACCGCCACGGCGTGGAACTGCGGGACACAAGCACAGCGGGCAGCTGGCAGCGCTGGCCAGGCCATGGCACACCTGGGAACAGGCTGCACACACAGGGATGCTCCAGCCTGACCCTGGAGCCAACTTCTGCCCCACGGGGAAAACCCAGCGTGCCAACCCACCAAAGCTTGGCGCGGCCTTTCTGGTGGGACCTGCCTGGGCACCAGGCTCTAGGGCTCTGCAAAAGGCCTTCCCATACACCCTCTCTCTCCAGTGCACATGTGGCATCCGGGGGTCTTAGACAAACTCCTCACAGAAGGAGTGAGGATAAAACTCCACAAGGAACCTCAGGACCTCCCTTGATCTCCTGTCATGCATGGATCTGGCTCCTGGCCGTGCAGATCTGCAGCAGGCATGGATCCACACTCACAGCCCACCCTTGGGGCTGTCTCCATGGCTGTACTCCTTGTTTCCTTGCTGCCTGGTGTTTAGCTTTGAGGAAAACCAGTGGCAGTGAAGAGTTAGGGGCGCAATTTGCAGGAGCTGTGAATCTGTGGCTGAACACACCCCAGACCAAGACCCAAGGGTGAGACAGCAGGCTAACGTTTTGGATATTGCACTTCAAGAGTGACAAGTCTCCTCTGCAATTCTCTGGCACGGCATTTTCTTTCAGAAACTACAGGTACAGAGGAAGTCCCAATATACCCCAAGGTCTTTGTTCCCCTACAGGTACAATTTTTGTCTAGGTGCTTCTTGACACATTACCTGTGCTGACAGACACCAGGAAGAACACTAATAGCCCTTTACTTACAATATGAAGGAAATCCAGTGGCGTTGCCATGTGAAGATCCCAGTTCAGTTTATCCAGGATGATCTTCTCCATTCTGCGAATCTCAGCTGGAGAACAACCACAAAAGCTATCCCGAGCCAACACCTTCAGTACTGGAATCCTCTGCAAAAGCCAAGGCAGAAAAACAAACGAGAGAACCAGTCATTAGAGAAATCACACCAAATGCTTGTTCCCATCCTGGCAAGTGGCAGCCACCAGGAGCAAGCAAAGGCAGGGATGGGAGGGCACAGTCCAACAATGCCACGGTAGGAAGAACAGTTACCTCATCTTCCTCAATGGTCTTTGCAGCGAGGAAGAAGCAGCTGATTGCAATACAGTTCAGGTACTTGGGACGGGCCTGTGGGACAGGAGAGCAGAGAGGGCTCTGTGTCAGTGTGACGCAGCAATGGTGTCCTGATCCTTCTGCTGGGGCATCCCAAGCCCCAGGTCTCCTTCTGGATGTGCGGGCTGACCTCTGGCTGCGCCCTGGCACTGGCAGTCTGGGCCAAGCACAAATCCTGCTCTGTGACGTCAGGCAGGGCAGGGACCTGCCAGCCCTGTGACCCACGTGGGCAGCTCTGGACCGTAAAGAGCTCGGGTTTAGGCACTGCAGCACAGCAGGCAAAGGGAGCTCGTCCCCTCACAGAAAAGCCACTTCACCTGCTGCAGCAGAGCTCTGCTCCGAGTGCTGCTGTGGGTCACACATGGAATGGGAAGGGAAGTGGGAACTGGAAAACACTAGCTTTGCCTGGGAAAGTATAACTCGGGAAAACTTTAAAAAACCCTTGTGAAATTACCACTTGTAATTTCACACTACAGTTCCCAAAACTGTGGCCCAGGGATTAGTGAGGGAGAGCTGGTCCTTTCCACAAGGAGATGTTATTTAGACAAGGTAAGAGGAATCTGGAGGGGAAAGGGGGATTTTTTGTGAGCTTTGTACATGTGACCACCTCGACAAGGAGCTTCACTCCCACTGGCAGCGTAACACCCACTGGCCATGGCCACATCCTGCAGAGTGGCTGGGGCTGGAAAGGCAGAGGCTGTTGCTAAACCCTGGCACGGCTGCAGAGCCATGAGCAGCTCCTGGCAGCTGAGCTCTCCTGCTCAAGGCAAAGGGAAATGAAAATCCTGCACTCGCACCCTGCACTTGCACGTGCAGGTGTCCAAGGGAATGAACTCCCTAAGAGCAGAACTGGGACTGGGCCCTGCCAGGGGTGCCGTGCAGTGAGATACAGCAACACTGCTGGCTCTGGGGAACAGCCAGTCCCTGCCATCCCCAAGTCTGTTCCCGGGGAAGGGACTGGTGTTCATAATAAAATCCCACAGAGGCCCCTGGTCAAACACCAGGAGTTCAGGTGCATCAGAGGAATGAGCTTTGTGGGAGAGGAAAACTGGGGAGGGAGCACAAAGCCCCAGAGCTCACCCAGGCCAAGCCCCTTTCCCCCTTCCCACTCACTGCCCAAAGCACACGGTGGGCTCTGGACTCACAGTCCCACGCTTTCTGCACAGACTCCTTGGCTGCTCCAACTTGCTGGAAGAAAACCTGCACTTGAGGCCATTGGCTCCTGAGGGATCTAAATATTAGCCACCTCAGCATTTCAGTAAATCAGCTTCTTTAGATTCTTAAAAATAATAACTTCCATGGCTTGCATGAAAACATGATCAATATTTATTAGTATTTAAGGGCTGAGTTAATGACTGATGTCACTTGTGTTCTACCAAAGTCTCTCACATGGGAAAGCAAGGGCACAGGCTTGGAATGCATCCTGCAGCTGCCATCTCCTGGGGGACATTGCATACCCAGCAGGGTGGTGCTGTGGGCTGAGACACGTGCAGATGAGACCACGGACTGCTGAGCATGGAACGTAACTCAGCACACGTGGTAAGAAAGAAACTTCCAGCGCCTGACTTCACAGCTGCAGGCCAGGGCTTCCAGGTCGGAGCACACTGTGTTTGGTCACTTGGCAGGTGCAAAGCACAGCCTGGCTAAGGGGGCAGAGGGGCAGCAGGGCCCACTTGCAGGGATCCCAAATGTTTTTCCCCCTTTTTAAAGCAGTTTCTATGGAGGAACAGCCTGACACCCAAAGGGGCTCATCCATTCCAGCTGTGTTCAGCACAGCAGGAGGGCACAGCTGTCACATGGACAGCCTGCACCTCTGTCTGCTTCCCTTTTTCCTTCCCACCTTTTGGACATCAGTCCAAGATGGAGTCCATCAGGCTGTAGAGCAGCTTGGTAGGGA